TTAACACTTTGATATGTTTTAATGGATGGCCACATTCACTTATGCAGAGTCTGAGAAGCCTGATTTGTTTGCATAAATTTCATATGCATATTAGATCCAATTAATACAGAGGGGTGGATGTTGAGATCTGTGTGCATCTGCTGGAATCAGTGTAACTGTAACAATTGCCAAGCTTGAGCTGAAATGTTACTCCGATCGTGACAGACCCATGCAGTTTAGGTACGTTTCATGACCCATATGTTGACCTATAGGTGTGACCAATCTCACAGAGGCGCATGATAAATTCTAAGTATGAACATTTACTAAAGACCTTGGTTATATAATGCTGTCAGTCGTTGACCTGTGATGTCCTCTGTGTCACTAATGCCTTAGCGAATTCATTGGGCCGAAATTTAATAGTGTAATAGTTCAACCTTTGTCTAAAGGTGGCATTCCAACCAGTCATGCATGGTCGAGCTATACCTCCAGGTTATTTGTGTGATTTCTGAACTCTTGCGATGACATTATTTGTGTTCTTCTTGACAAACCAATCAATGGTTGTTGTATTTGTCAGTGATACCTTTAGGGCATTATGTTACCGCTCCACTAATTGCGGTCACCGCAAAATGTGAAATTTGATGTCTGCTTTGTTTTCGGACTACTTTTAAGTAGTTAAGTTAAGTTTAAGTTTTCTTTACCTTTACTTAATTTATGTAATATATATATATGTATGTGATATATCATGTTATTATATATCTGTCATCTTAACGCCATAAGTTTGTGTGTCGTTATTTTGCTGCATTTTACAGGGGTATTTTCATCATACATATTAGGAAATGTAAATTCCAAATATGGAATAATTATACACGTAAGCGTCCTCTAATAATAAAAACAAACATGGTTGCCACCAGGGTTTGACCGGTCTCCACACAAAGAAGTTCTCTGATTTTGTTCTGAACATTTTGGATTTCAGCATTTCCATGATGTATCCTTGGAAGGAAAAGATGTATACCGAGTAGTAATATGGTTATTATGATGATACCTCAAAATATGCCTTCAGACAGTACACCGTCTTATAGACCTCTGCTGCGCGCCGGCCAATACTCTCGCTGTACTGTCTTTGTGCATACTTTGAGGTATCATTGTAATAACCTTATATTACAAGGATGAAGAAAAATGAAATAATAATTTGAGGTCACCGTACTCTATTCAAAAATCGATCAACAAAATACAGTGAAAATAGCAAGTTTTGTCTGTTTTAGGACATTTTACCATTTGATATATCCCAAAATATTGTTCATTGACATATGGTGAAAAAAAAGATATATACAATGTAGTATCTTACATGGTATTTATGGAAGTCTACCAGAAGTCTAGAAATATTTGTAGTGGGTTAATTTTACGAGGAAATGTGTATTCATTTTGGTCTTTGGAGAACGCTGCTTAAAATGTCATTTTACGCGTTTTCTACCGTATTCTACCATTTTTCTCGACATTGACAATGAAAAGTTTACTCCTGTTGACTATTACTACAACTAATAACTGTAGATAGATTTGGACACAAAATATTGTCACTGCTGCACATATATGCTCGAAAATTATTCCCACATGCCAAAAACCCTGAGTAGCATTCTACTTTGTATAAATTCAGAACATGTGTAGGTGAAATGAACTCCATGTGTGCCTGCATGAACACTATTGAAAAAAAAAAATGTTACCAAATGGAATTCAAACAAGAAATATACTGGGAGTTAAACCAAAACGATCACCAACATCTAGACAAGCCACAGTTATAGTGTTAATACATTATTTCCAGCAATTTACAAAATTATATTTTAGTCACAAGACCCCAGTATAGCTTCAAGAATTATTTCAGAGATGCTGCCAATACATTATTTACCATATTTGTTCTATTAGTAACGCATGTGCTTACATAAAGTACATAGAATTTTCCTATGTTCCTGTGTTTCCTATGTTTTAATGGTTCAATATAAAACAAATGCAAATTTTGGTTCATATGTTTTTATTATATTAAAGTTTATTTATTTAATTTAACACTTTATTAAAAGAGAGAGGGCCAATATACAATAAAGTAATTTTCTTGGGCCCTCTCTGTAGGAACAAAATACAAAATATACACTCTATAGGCTTGAGTCATTTACAGCAAATTTGATAGATATATTTTGTAGGTTTTCTTAAAAATGCCTAATGAAGCTGAATTTCTGATATTGGATGGTAAGTTATTCCATAGGGTTACCCCTCTATACTGAAATGCCCTCTGGCCCATGGACATAAATGTTTTCCATTTAGTAATGCATAAATAATTGTGATTTCAATATTTAAAATACAGCAAATACGATAATGCCTGTGTATTATTCTATGCATGGTGTAGTTTTCTCTGAGATGCAACGTTGCTGACTGTGTTCTATATTCTCAATCCTACCTTTGTAAACAATAAATTACATTATTGTCAACTGGAAAAAAAACATAAATAAAGTTTGTACAAATATTTAAACCATACCATGATGCTCGTAGCAATGAGTGTTGCCAAGTAAGGAAATCAGTGTTTTGGAAAATAAAATATTGATCTGATCAACAATACATTTACCCACAAAATAAAACAAAAAAACAACTCAAAAATATTTTTGTGTCCATATTTAAATATTAGAAACACATTGGATAAAAAAAGGTGTAAATTAAGCCAGACCAAAAGGTGAAAGGACATGTGGTTGTCTAATTAACAAAACAGATTTATGGAGCTTTTGTTTTCTGAGATGGGGGAGGGAGGGTGTGTCCTCTGGGGATGGACACAACTACTATGGAATAAAATAGTTTGTTTATTATTTATCTGCGACATAAATCTACAAACTATTATAAGGTATTGACCTCTTGACCCCGGCATGCCAGAACTTTTTATTACCGAATTACAGGGTTATAGCCAGAAAATTGAAACAGTCTGTCTAAAAACTTTATCGAAGTTACTAGTCTGTAGCGATAGAATTATAGTCAATATTTTGTTGATTATTGATGGTTATTTATACAAAGAAAATGAAATTTTCAATGAAAATTGGACAGGTTTTTAAAGATTTTGCCTGTCAAATGAAAATTTGTCTCTCAACTCTCTGTCTATAATGGTGGAGTGCCTGTCTACAAAAATGGTAGGCAGACAGGTGGTGGGCTAAAAGCCTGCTGAGTTATATCGCTGTTGGCTTCTGTTTATCGAATTTCTCATCCTAATGAATAGAAACAAAATAAACTTATTTACTCTCAACACATGATGAAAATCAAGTAAAAAGGCTTTTTCAATTCCTATGAATTGTCCCCTGAGAGTTGTTGAATCTTTCCAGTTTCCTTTTCCTGTGAATACTAAATCATTAACGTAACAAAAGCATTCCAGACTTGATATTTAAAGTTTATTGGTGGGATTTGATTGTCTTTATTATTGGTATGATGTAAATTTCTAATGTACTTAGCTTTGTTTTCGCATTCCTCCGCACTCATTACAGTGTTTATTATTTTATTATGTGTATTAAAGATAGGTGGATAAAAAAAAAAAAAATTGGGGTTCGCTCTGATTTTATTACAGGTAGTCAGTCACTTTTACGAGGACAGGCTTTCATATGCATTCTTTCCATCAAAACATTGATGCCACTATTAGGAATGCTACTTATGGGGGGGGGGGGGGGGTCAATACACCACGACCTGTTCTAACCTATATGGGTCTCATAACGACATACACAACACATGTAAATTACATGTGTTTGTTTACGTGAAATTTGAATATGCGGTGTGTGACAATCATCGCCCTTTTAATAATCTATTATCTATGTTTTGCTAATATATAAATTCAACAAAAATTAGTTTATTTGAGCAAAAACATCTCTCAGGATTCAACCATTCAGTGCACACATTATGTTTTAATCCAAGAAAATATCAATTATATTTGTTGATGGACTAATTGCAAGACAAAGTCCATGCCAACTTATTATTAATAGTACCGGTAAGACATGAACTAGAAGAATTTGAACAAATTTGATAAATCATGTTTTTGAAAACGGGTTACAGAACTGCGTGAAGTTACCAGTTAATTGACAGGACAATGTTCTTTGTCCCTCAATACAATTAATGATGATACAATATTGTTATTTGTTAATTTTCAAACATCATTTAATTTTATTTGTTTGCCAATCAGTGTAGTTTATTGTGTCTTTTGTTTACACGCGTTATATACGTCACTATCACTTGAAGTAGCAATTTTTTTTAGCGGTTTTGCTTTTCCATTCTTGCTAGAAGCAGTTATTGCAAAGGCTTTAATAACAAATGTTGGTAGGTTTGGTATTTCTACTAGGATATGCTACTAACTAATAAAAAGATGAATATTTTAATTTGCCATTTGAATAATTTTATTAATTCTGCATTAAATAGTTTGTTGGCATGGCTGTGGGCGTTTGAATAGTAGCGTTCACACAACGTTTCTTAGCATGGGCTAGGAGGTTGAACATATTTGCATATTCTACAAGTATTGGCAAAAATTATGTAAATAACTGTACCAGCATTAAACCTTATTTCAATATTGTAGTTTAATAAATCTTACCAATAAATACTGCTAGAAAAATCAGGATTTCTTATTTCACTGCTCTACATCAACTATGGAATCAGTTTATTAATTACTAGATTATTGCCTGTGTTTTTGTTTTTAAGTGTGGTTGTAGAGGGCGCTGTTCACACCTTGACACAGTGGTTTTAAATAATGTTTTGATTGCTAATGCAAAATGATGACAGCGTAGTAAATACATTTTCAAGTACAAAGTAACAACATTCGAAATATAAACTTGCCATGGGTCAAGCTGTTTTATACATAGATACATCGTTTGTATCAGATTTACACCGATAATGAGCTGACATTGTGCTCACTTCATATATAGGAAATAAAACACAATTGTTGAAATCAATATGATTTGATACCCTTATAAATTTGATTTGTGATTACAATAACATTGTTCGTTTTGTTTTTATTTCAGAGTGTGACAGATAAAAAGTTTGCTAATGACGATTTCAGAGCTTCATTAGAAAATGGTGTCTTGCTGTGCGAGTAAGTATGTTTTTAATGAGAGGCAAATTATCAAAATCTAACCAAGTTCATCACAAATTTGCATTTTGTAATTGAGTGAGTCTTTTAAAGGGGCACCTTCCAGTTAAGATAAATTTTACAACAAATTTACTTTCTGGATTAAAATAACAATGGATAACAAAAGATAGATTAACATTGTAAACAACATAAACAATAGTGTCCCATGATTCTTTGGTGCAATCCAAGGGATTGAGCGGTTCCCCTTTAAGTGTCATACTGTGTTTGTTCCACAAAAAAATGCATCTCCAATAGAAGATTACATAAACCAAAGAATACATTTAATTTAAATACTGGAATATTAAAATATGACTTATTGTGACCATAGATGCACCACGGTTATTTACATAATTGCATCCACACCTGATAGAGCAAATATGGTATTGATTTGTAATTCCAGCATTCCTACCAAAGTATGCGTTAATTGTTAAACTGGAGTATGAACTATAGATTTTGTATCTCCAATTCGCATTTGGTTGTATTGACAGTGCATGTGTCTAATGAATTCATTAGTTTGTTTATATTTTTTACAGATTGGTAACTGCAATTAAACCTGGTTCAATTAAGAAAATTAACAGATTACCTACTCCCTATGCTGGGCTGGTATGTAGTTTTAGTTTTCACATATATTGTACATTTTTCACACCTTCCTCACTTCCCTGGGTGACCTTCCTTCCTTCTTTGAAACTTTACATTGTCTAGTCACAAAATATTTGTTTAATCTTCAATAGATACAATACCTTTAAAATTTTGAATACCAAAATCGATTTTTGTTGCCTTTTGTCATTTGTTTTGATCAAGATCCTTAGCAGATGGAAAATTACTAGTAAGACGTCTTGGTTCAAAATTGCAAAGGAATTATTGAACAAATGCAAGAAAATATGTAAAATGTTAATGCCAAAATGTAGGCTGGAAAATTATGGCGTTTCGAGCATTACTAATAAAAAGACAGATGACTATGATATTTATGTGAACAACAGCTTCAAATAAGAGCTTTTTTTATTTAAGAAAGAGATTAATTTTCAGTTGGATTATATAAGTACATGGCTTGTACTTTAGACTATGAGTAGAATGAGCCTGTAGCCATAGAAACCTAAACCTTTTCACCACCAGTTCCCTCTTTTCATCACAAAATAGTCCCATTTATAGTCTGCAGAAGATAGAAGATTGGGACAAAAATAGCCAAATTATTTGAATAAAAACTAAAAAATTTACACAAATTTTTTATGTTGGCTCCAAAATTCGAGTTCATTTCCAGAAATATTGAAACATATAAGAAAAAATGGCAAAATAATTTGTGCGAGAAAGTCTGGTGATGAAAAGGCTAAAAGCAGAACTGAGGTGAATTGTGGTTGCTGAGACACCCCCCCAACCCAACTCACTCATCCCTAAATCTTAAATAAATCCAGTTGTGTTTATTTTAAAGATATAATCACCTATGCATTGGAGCATGATATGCTTCCATGCTGCTTGACATCCCTTATTCCAATCTGCTTTATTTTGACTGTGCTGGCAAAATATACAACTGTCTGGTAACAAGTATACCATAGAACCCTGAAACTATTGATTGACAACTACGTAACTGACATTAGGCACGTACTGAAAAAATGATTTTTGTTTGTTTCACATCTCCATTATTTCAAATTGAGTTTCCTACTTTTATTTTTCTTAGTTGCTGTTTCATTAATTATTATTTTTGTTAATTATTGTTCAATTGTTTTTTTATTTCGGTAAGATGTTTTTTTTTGCTTCTTTTTGCTCTGGTTTATTACCAATGTTATGCTTGTATACTGCTAGTAACTTTTAACAGTTAATTCTTAGCAACAGGAGAATTTCCTGAAATATGTTTCTTCTTGTCAGTTTCCATAGAAACAAACACTTCAGGTTTGTCTGCTAATGTATAAATATGAGATTTAAATTAATAAATCTTTCCAAAAAAAATTATAGCTGAAGCGTTTTTTTTTTTTGTCTTGATAATGTTTTTTTCATTAGACACATTGTGTATATAATTCAACAAATTTGAATTTAATGTCTTTTTGTTGCAAAATTTAATGTTTAAAGATGGGCTTTACAACTTTCCTTGTGAATATATTGGACCACCAGACAAAAAATATATACTTTTTGAAAACAGCCATTAAAGTAAATATTCTAATTGAACGGTTGTTTCAAAATTATTTAAAGTTTCAGTCATGCAGCATACGGTCATTTTTGTGCACGCAAACAATGCATTATCTACGGCAATAGAAATACAGGTACCATTCTTGTCAGCATTTCAGTAACATTGGCATTTTTGCATTTTTGTATTAACGAGTAGTGGTTGTCGCATTGCGTCCTGTTCGATATAGGTCATATACAACAAGTGGTAAAGTACATTGTTCACACAAAATTTACGACCATACACCGCCCTTTTAATCATAGTATGAATTGCGGACCTAGCCGATAAAAATATACGCCTTTGCTTTTGGGCCTGGTATAAATACGAGAAAGCCAACTCAGATGTAATATTAAATTCAGATGTAAAATTTGAAAAGTGATCAACGAAATTGACAACTCCAGTAGAAAGATGTCATGCATCCATAAAAAGTAAATCTTCAAAAACTGTAAATTTATTTTTTACAATAGGCGATTTTTCGTTCATTGTCGCAAAAATCAAACGATTTGATTTTGAATTTGTTTTTTTGTAGATCAATGTCGAAATGCTGATCTTTGTTATGGGAATATTGTGTTAAGATGCCCTTACTTCATCAAAACTGATCATAGTCCAATGTGTATAGCTCATCATTAAGCATGAAAATATCCGTAAAATATTTCCGCAAAATTTAGACCTCACTATGATAATTTGACCCATGATTGTCCTATTTTTACGTTTATTTCACGTATAACACGGGATCTCACAGGAAATAAGTGAGAATGAGATTACTTTATTTTATTTTTACTCCCAAATGAGAAAAGTTAACTTCTACAAAATCTCATGTTTTCCCCTAAAATTCATGAACATAAAGTAGCACTATTATATTGGTACGTGTACGTGTATCGACCATCTTCAAATCCTATCAATAAAAAGCTTTTAATAAATTAAGCACTTCCTTTCCTTTTCTAATGTATTTTGGTTACTGTCTAGACAAGATACAAATGTTCTCTATTACGCCAGTCTTGTCGCTAGCTCTTATGGGTCTGCATCCTAAGTTGTTATCATTGTATGTGGATCTGGCCTTCATTAACTGAACCACTGTTTTAGAAAATTAACAATGAATTAATTAATTAATTAAAAAAACTTTTAGTGAAAATAAAATTTTCTTTTTTTGGGGTATTTGTGAATAAAAAAAAATACAGTTTAAAAAACAATGTAAAAATAATTTGTTTCATTTGTTTTTAATTTTTTCAGGATTTCAGACAACCCCCCCCCCCTTCCTCCCCTAATCTAACCCACCAGAGTTCTTGTGGTGAACCCCTACAAGCAAAGTTTCAAATTGAACTGTATCAGAAGTATGTGATAAGCAATCAGCTGATGTTTATAAAATAAACGCTATAATAATCCATAAAGCTACCGCCTTGTGATAAATGTTACGAATCTATTCCATTCTAATTAAATTGATGTACTAGGAAATTACTTGGTGTAATGAGGTAATTTTCAGTACAACTGTCAGCTAGCAATGGCTGTTGGCTGGATTGTATATGGTAAACAACAACGTGTCAATGCTGTAATCATATGTTGATAGGGCTATGAAAGTTGGAATTCATGGAATGTCACCCCTCTTGAATTAAAGAGGGTGATCCCATTAAGAGGGGCAAGTACGGCCGATACTAATTCAATTGTTCCTTGTCATGATTGGTAAACATTATTTGGAGTTTACACGAGTCACAATTGAGATACATGTGAATCTGCTATTACAGCTTATCTGTTCAAAGTCCCTCCCAAATGTAATAGTCGGAATCCCCTTGCAATTCAAATGGTATGGCCCCATTTGTTATGAGGTATAAGCTGTGGATAGATATGCAAATGAACAGTTGGTGCATCACTGCAGCCATAGGACTTCCCTATCGTATCCCTCTTGGTCTAGGCGTATCTACAGTTTTGAGGTAAGAGACTAGCATTTCACTCCCCAAAAATGTCTCTCAGTTGTCTTGTACAACTGCACTGACCTCACACTGGAGTCTGATGGAAGATATTTTGGGTGAAAATTGAGTAAACAAAAGTGTAATGTTTGGATGGGTGTCTTTGACAAGTGTTGTAATAGTAGTTCATGCAGGGTCCTTTGAGGGGGGGGGGGGGGTTGCTGATTTGCATAACATTGAATTGTTGCTGGAGGGTGAAATTTAGGGCACCCCAGCTAGTATTGGGTAGCAGGGATCAGGTGCACCTCTACCCCACTGTTTGACGTATATCGTGTGGTCAGTCAAAAGGTCCAGTATGATTGAGCATGTTTCTGTGAAATCAGCGTTTGGTTGACATATGTTGCCTCTTCACTCACAACATTGTAGGACTGGCACTGTTAAACAGTACATGAACTGAGAGTTCATACTGATGCTATCTTCTCAACACGACTACTATGGAGTTCAAGGGAAATTCCGTCTTTTGTCAGTGTTAGATGTCATGGCATAGCAGATGAGACGTGAATAACCAGTTTGTTGTGGTTTTGGTGGAATCATTTTAAACTTCAATGATGAAATCAGAACTGGGTCAGACCCTACTAAGCCGTTTCTTTTCTTTTCTTTTTTTTATTTGAGGTGACAAATTTGTGGTTTTGTTTGGAGGAATGGGGAGATAATCTAGCAGTGCAATAGACAAAGTATTAATTAACACTTTTTTTTAAATCTGATTATGTTTATTGTTCTTGCCTTTTCTGGAAGCAGTTATTTGAAAACAGTGTGAAAGATGTGCTAAGGACGTACTTCTGTGTGCTTTCAAACAGTTTTTAATGGGACCCTCACGTTTTAGTCTCATCTATTGTTTAGTAACTCTCATTGTGTCATATCTTTGTATCGCTGTGCATTCAGGACATTGCCTTGAAAGCACCATCACCTTATACACGTGTAGATAAGATCCAGAGTTTTTGTGACAATATTTTTCCTCGCCCACGCTCTCAAAATTATAAAAATAGCAACACTTCCTGCCTCATTTATAGTTATATAAAATTGATAGCATTTCAGGTCAACTCTTGAAGTATTATTTTTCGTTTTGTTGATTAATGTATAAGTATAGGTTGATGTGATTTATAATTTTTATGTTCTCAAATTTACTGATGTCAATGCTCTAGCAGACTCGGGGCCAGTGGCAGTACTTGGGGGAAGAGTGGTGTGAACGAACACTTAAATCATAGGTCCTTGGGGTATGGCAATTATCTGACTTAAGTTGAATGTACAATGTTATGGTGTGATCACTATTCTTTAGGCTGGACTTTGACATTATTTGACGTCTTCAACATTGAATTACAGATCCTAGTAATGGTGATCACTATGACACTCTGCTATGAAGCAACAATTAATTACATTTAGGAAAAAAAAAATTTAAACTTAAATTCGGAGCGAGAATTTTTGTTTATTCCAATGTAGATTTATTCCTTATCTGATGATTCTTACAGATTAGCAGTTTTGTTTTGCATTTTGAAACGAAAAAACAGATGCCCAGATGTCTTGTAATTGATATCTATGCATAACTGTTAGGGTGGAAACAAAAAAAAAAAAATTTCCCACTATAAACATGAAGTACTTGAAGTACATTCCATTCCTCTGTAAATTTAGAGACGACATAAATAAAACTTACATAAAACTCTTATGGCTCAGTAATGTGTTGGTTTTGTGACACTCCCACAGTATAAGTAGTTTTTCATTATTTATGCATGTAATGTTGGTTTTAGGTGTTCTTTTCTGTTACTTTGCATTGGTGCCAGGTATAATAATGTTATTGTACATAATGCTGATTGATACTGTCATAAAAGTCTTTTGTTTTGTTTCACTTTAAGTAAAGTATCTCACCTACATTTTTAGAAAATGTTATTCAAAAATTAATTCAATATTGCCATAGATTTATATATATATATACAAGTAGTCTAATATGGACAAATTAGGTCTATCTCGCCAGAATAAATCCTGTTAGAGATATTTATTTTTTCAAAATGTTATCTGAAGACGATTTCTACCAACCTGGGTCTCATCTAATTTATCATTATCATTGTTATAATTTACATAAATTTTTACTTAAAGCAAATATTTGATGTGTGTCTTGTGTAATGCAACATAAAGCACATTGTCTTTTAACATGAAATTTGAATACTGCACAGTGACTGGCACTCGTTAAATTGTAAATTTATTTGTAATAGGCTGCGATAACAATATAATATTATTTTTATATTCCAGTCCTAACCTCCTCTGATTCTCCTTTTAAGGGATGAGCCATTTGAATTCTTGGGGTGGTCTAGAATGATTTTAGGTATTTCCATAAAAAAAATCTTACTGCATTAAAATTTTGTAGTTGGTTAATAACAGGAGGGAAAAAATCATAACAGGGGAGAAAAAAAAAGCACAATGCTCCAAGCCCTCCTCAGGATACAAGTAACCCCCCCCCCCCCCCCCGAGCAAATAATTTTTTTTCTCTCCTCGTTTGAGTTTAGAGTTACTTTAAAATTGAAATAGATCCATGGAAGAGAAATGGATCAGATGGATTATTTTAACAGAGGAAAACTGAAAACAGACTGCTTTGCAAATATACAAAAAAAAAAAAAGCCTTGAATCAGTTTACTTTGCTGGATATGCGATATTGTCCCACTGTCAGGGACTGACCAAGAATGTGATCTAAAAAGTTGTCATAGCTGTTTTCAGTTAGTTTGTTGTTTACATTTGTCTAAACCACTAATAAGTTATGTCACTACAAGGGTGTCAATGCATACTTGACAATGTCATGCTAATGACTTTAACTGTTTGAACTTGGGGTCAACCATTATTTTTGCAGAAGAGAGAGGGGGGAGGAGCGGGAGCGGGCCGTGTCACATAAACACCTTAAATCAGCGAGTCACTAAATGATGTCAAAACATTCAAGGTCGTCAGAACTGATGTAATTACTTGGAAAATAAAAGTTGGATTAATGTGCGCGTGGATGGTTAAATAATTCGTTAAGTGAGGGTGATTTATAAGTACTATACTGTCAATAGTGCCTACCCTATCTCTATGGAATATAGTCCAGTCTTTGTTCTGGAGCGTGAGAGCACAAGAGAAGATAGTATGTAGGTCATTGAGTTTTGCCAACCATGTGGAAATGCCTAATCCCCAAACCCAGTGTCTTGGATGCCGAGTCCATTTGCTGAGTGCTTCTGTAAACAGCCGCGTCTTTCAGTTGTTTAGTGCACTGACTGACTGCTAAAAGTTGTTTACATTTGCGCCAAATACCAGGGTATTTGAAACTTGCATCTTTGGGATGTTTCGCTTGGGTGTATCCCATTTTGTGTCTTTCTGGGTTTTATTTTCAGTTGTTCAGTGGTTTTATCTTATTGCTTACTGTCTCCTATTTCACCGTCCTTCCATCTTTTCTCTCTAGTTCCAAACATTTGACGACCAGAATGTTTTTGTGTCTTTATAAGTTCAAGTAACAAAAAGTTCTTTTACATTTTGTCTTCTGTTTACATACATCAGTAAAAAACTTGTTAATAGTTTACTCCACATTCAAAACACATATTTTTACTCGAAATTTGTTAAAAACAACAATTGACAGTATAAGTATAAAAAACACCGTGGATGGAAAGGTTAGAATACAGTAACGGCCAACTTTAACAGTTCTATTCAAAACATACTTGTTTTTAATAATTTTTGTTTTCAAATCTGTATGGTACATCTGGGTATAATCATAATTAAACTAAAATTAGTGGAGTAGAGAAACACGACTAACTTGCCGTAGATTTATTTGTATTTGCTCTGTTAGCAGCATATCTGTAATAGAAGTACCAGAAGTACTCATAAATCCCAATTGGAATTTATTGTATGCTTAACCGTTTCCTCGTTCATTTTTCTCTTTTTAAATTTTTCTGCACTTTTTTCTGATAACTCTTTATAGTTCTGGAAATGAACCCTAGTTTTGGAGCCAACAGACAAAATTTTAGTGTATTTCCAGTTTTTGCTAAAAAAATTGCCCATTTGTGTCTGTGTGCTCTGAACGAAAGTGCAGACTATAAGCGGGACTATTTTGTGAATTTGTGATGAAAAAAGGAAACTGGTGGTGAAAAGGTTAATTATTAAAATATGACTTATTTTGATACACCCTTATAATTTATGTAAGTGAATGTGCTACTACTAATGCAGCAAAAATGGTATGTAAATTTCTGTTTTAATTTCTCCCTAAATTACACAAAAATATTTGAACCCATGCTTTGTTTGAGGGGAATAGACTCTGTCTGTGGAACTGAAATTGAGAGAAAAGAGCAGTTTGCATTCCGCATACATTATGTTATTGGGTCATGTGACTGTTACATTGTGTTTATCAGCTGATTTCTAGATCGGATTTGGTTACACTAAGATAAATACAAGGCTTGCAATTATTTTGGAAAAAAACTTGTCTGTTTTGTGATGAGAATAGAAAAAGTATATTTATAAGTACAAGACTTTCTGATTACTAATAATACCATCAGATTTTTATTTTATCTTTCATTTCATTACATCACATTACATCACTGTCTATAAAACTTCACATCACAGAAAATGGGTGAATCACTTGTAGCATACATGTATAGTGGTTGTGTGAGGCACATGATTGGTAGATCTTGCCTTCCCAAAATACATATTATATTATATAGCCATATTTTTGGCTGAACTTTGAATTATATGAGGGGACTATACATATGTGCACCTCTGCACCTTCTGTATTTTCATAAGGTGTTTGGATATCATGATTATTAGGGATATCTGATAGCCTCTTATCCAAACTAGATTAAGTATAATCTCTAGTTCAATTATTGCTTAGGTCAGATACATACTTAACATATTTGTGATGTACTTTGTACTCTATTTAATGATAATAATTTCAAAGTAATTTGAAAAAAAAAAAAAAAAACTCGTCCAATTTTAGGTGTTGCAGAATAAAACTATAAATATAA